CCAGTAGTAGTAGAAGAAGATCCCATTGCCGTGTTTCCTCTGTGGCATTTGGTTGTGGATTTTCTAGATTTGGTGGATGTTCTGCAGGCCCGTCTCGTGTGTCGTCGTTGGAATTCCGGCTTGTGCGAGAGTACAAGTGCTAACGGCAGCAGTAGTGGAGTGTCGGTCCAGCAATGTGTCCGATTTCTGGATGCCATTCTGCAGCGACAAAATGTGGTCTTGGCGACAGGACACGTCCCAACTGTGGATGCCCACTGGACGTTGGGGTTGCTTTCTTCTCAGCCCGATTGGAAACGACGAGAGCGACTGGCTTCGTTTCTTCTGGAGAGTGACGGCAGCAGCAGGGGTCACTTTGACAAGATGCTGTTGGTCCTGCGCGTGCTGCAACACTTACCATCTCAAATGGGCATCTGCTACAATTCCAAGTGGGGCCGTCATGCCTGGGCCATGCAGTGGAATGCCAACACCCACACCAGCGAACCCCGGATCTATCATCCGTCATCCTTCCAAGTTTGTACTACTCAAGAAGATGCCACTACAACTACACCCGACGATATCCCCACGGTTGCCTCGGGACCTGCCAATCTCTTCCAAACTTCCCCTGCACGGCATGGACCCAACAACGACTACGATATCCATGATACCCTGCAACTCATGAAGCACAAAACAGATTATGGCATAGTAACCGAGGAAACAATCCAAGAACGTTGGGACTTGAATCGTTACCATCATGATCCTTCCCTTCCCAACTTACCGTCTGATCTACGCTGTCCCCTGTGCTGTTCCGACAGAAGAACACTACAGCTCTCGGAGTTCCCCTACCAAAGCCAGCCCACTAACGGCGACGATTTCATTACTCCACTGGGATATCGAACGGCCAATGTACTCACATTGACGCCTGCAGAGACCACGAATGACCATTCTAGTAGCAGCCCGTCGTACCAAGAATTGGCCATTCCAATCATTCGTTCGCAGGACAATCTACAGTCCACAACCATTCCACAACTTCACCCCAAACCACATCTCAAGCATGCCATGACGTTGCATTGTACGCACTGTCGACAATTTGCACTCGTGGCTCCGGGGGGCATGTGCTGGTCGTCCAAATTCCCTTGCAAGAGTCGATCCAAGACGTTTTCTATACACGAATCCACTACATCATCCACAAGCAAAACCGATATCAAAACGTGGATGGGAGGCATGTTGGTGCGCACCCGTTGCAGCGAACGAAACTGTCCCCGTCCCGTCTTTTGTCACGAATGTTCCCATGCGACCAGTCATGCACACTATCCAACAACACAACAGCAACAACCACCACCTCCCCAACTACAACATTCCTCACGCTGCGACCATTGTCATTTGGATTATTGTCCTGCACATGCATGGTTGTCCACTGTCTGTCATCATTGGTAATATTATATTAGACAGGAAAACCATGGAGACTATTGTAGATCCACTGGCGTTTGTGGAACTGGAAGATATGCATCCAACAAAGCAACCAACAATGTATCGGGTGTCAGTGGCGAACGTGCCGTTTGATTGATTTTTGGTAGGTTGCGTGATCCAGTTACTTGGACATGTTCACCTCGACCGTTTGAATTCGTCTGCTAGTCTAGCTATGACATTGTAAAGAAAGCCTCAAAGGGTCCTCTCACTGTAATAGAACCAAATCTATCTAGCTAGCTATCAATCGCCAGTTACAACCCCGAGATTATTTGCACGGTTGCTCTGAACTAATAACTGGAAGCAAGTGACCATCACTTGGCTACCACTCGTTAATTTTGGAGTCGAGTCGGTCGTGGTTCTCAAATGGTCTGTTTCACTACTACAGTATCGTAGCCACATCCACCGTACCGGTACGATAGACAGGACCAAAATCGATCGCTCCAGCCACCATGCGTTCTGATCGAAGTTGAGGGACCGTCTCCTCTCGTGGGCTGGCAACAAAGAAGATAGCGCTACTGTATGTCAGCAAGCAGAAAGACAACGCTTGGGACATCTTGGCAACGATTACATGTAGAACGATCCTTACATCAGCAAGTACACTTTGTGTAGGCTACGGTATCAATGTCCATGGAAGGCTGACAAAGTCGATGGTACATGTAACACAGTACTAATAGGAGCTCTTCCAGTAATATAATGGTCCCCCACCCTGGTTTTGGGCTTTAGCCACACAGTATTACATGTCTGTAGTAGTCTACTCCCATCAACCAGAGTGTTCTGCCGAGAAGGTGAACAGCCCAAGGGGCAGCCCTGTTCATTATGTCTGTTCGAACTACTGACCAAAGAGGATTTACAAGTCACGGATCTTGAATTTTTCCACTAAGACTTGCGACAGCACCAACCAGTACCGGTACTGTACCGGTTCGATTTGTACCACTGTACTGTAGAACGCAAAACTGTGGCACCAGGGACCCAAAGGATTTAAAATAAAAATCATTTCTTATTAATTTTAAAAGCCTGACCTTTAGAAAAGCCTGCTGCTACTCTAAAAGCCTAACCTTTAACTCCGGTTCGACTACTCTTACTCGTGTTCTGTTATTGCAGACACTGCTTACGCTTTTGCCACTGCGCATTTTGGACATTGGCACACCGTAGCAAAAACCGCGTTTGGGTCACTTCCAAGCACAAAATTTATTTGCTGCACAACCCACAACCAAAGAACCAAAGTAGTAACTAACGCAGCTAAACTAAACATCTGAGGAATCGAATCAATAACTATGCTAACAATGGAAGATAAGAATTTCGCCAATGGTATTGACTTGGCTGAGCATCAGAACACCGCTACAGCAGAAGAAAGCCAGGTTCCAGATGAGGAGAGCGAGGAGATGACCAACGGTGATACCGTCAGCCAGGCAACCGCCCATGATCTCTCAAAAATCAAGAAGCATGCCACAAGGACCTGGAAGATTGCTTTGTTGATGGTGGTCATGGGAGCCACTGCCAGTGGAATCTTCCTTTATTTTGGCATATCTGTTGCTCAAAACGAACAGAGAGAGAGCTTTGAACGGAGAGCTAGTGATTTTTCCAAAGAGATTGATGGTGCCTGGGATGACTATGAGGCAGCAGCTCGTTCGACTCACTTAGAGTGCCGCAACTGGAGGACTGACAACTTGACCCATCAGGACTTTGAAGCTCTCTACTACTACCTACTTGAAGGAGGCCTGAACTTCTACTCTATCAATTGGGTCCCAAACATTACCCATGCAGAGAGACCTCTAGTGGAAGAGAAAGAAGGGGCCTACTGGAAGAATAATGTTGAAGGTGCAGAAAACTATGCTGGTTTCACAGGCCAAGAACCAGATCCAGACCATCCAGGTGAACTCATCTATGCCAATAGGTCTGAACAAGATTTCTACTTTCCGCTCTATGTAAGTTGATAACATATATGCAGGATGTTTACAGTATTGTAGGCTCCTGCACTCCAACCGATAACTAACACTTTCTCCCTGACACCCTATCCTTCTCCACGTTCCAGTTTGTGGAACCCAAGAGTGCTGCTGCTAGCATCATTCACTATGATCTTTTCAGTGCTCCCTGGGAAAGTCCTGCCATTTCCCAAGCACTGGCGACCTACCAACCTGCCCTCACTGGTAGGTTCGTCCTTGCACAGCACACACCAGAGGATGGCTACAGTACATTGCTTTATCACCCAGGCGTCAAACTCCCAAGTCACCTTGAACAAGATCGTCACGACCTTGCCCTCATCATTATGACGCTCAACCCCTTTCTCCAGCACGCAGCTCGCGTCCAACAGGAGCCAATGGCGGTTTACCTCTATGACAAGACTTTGGCAGAAATGGATGAAGAAGTTCCCTTCGAATTCTTGGGTGGGGTGCAAGTGAAATATGGGAATGAAGACCGGAGCAGGCGTCAAGTGACAAATCTAATGGAAACAGAGTATGCTACTCTACAGGGCTCCTCTGACCTCTACTATGAACGAGATATCCATGCTGGAGGGAGGACCTGGGCAATTGTGGTTATCCCAGTTGAGGGTGATACCTCCTACCAACCCGATGTCATCTTTCCCATTCTCTGTGGTGCTATGATTTTTGCTGCCTCATTGCTGCTGGCATGGATCTGGGTTATGCACAACCGCAGCCGAACACAGCAAGTCATGGAGATTGTGGACAAGGCAGCTGTAGAGTCCAAGATTGTGTCCAACCTGTACCCTTCTGCTGTCCGAGAAGACATGATTCGCCAGCAAAAAGAATCAAGAGAAGCAGCCAACAAGGAAAAAGCAACAGCAAAAGCATTCAATGATGAATTTTTGTTGCAGGATGGCAAGCACTTTACTATGCTTGATCACTCTGACCATGGTGACAAAACTATTGAAGGAATCTACAAGACCAAGCCAATCGCCCACCATTATGAGGCATCTACAATCATGTAAGTGATCGAGTCATGCTGTGCGCTCCACAACTAAATGTGAAGCTTGCCTATCTCACACTCCTTTTGAATTTTGCACTGCCCAGGTTTGCTGATTTGGCCGGTTTCACTTCTTGGAGCTCAAGTAGATCGCCAGAAGATGTGTTTACTCTCCTTGAGACTCTGTATGGTGCTTTTGATGAAATAGCCAGACGGCGTAGAGTGTTCAAGGTGGAAACAGTGAGTTCTTGGCCAAATTTTTCTGGATGCAGGATGACCAAATCCTCACTCGCTTCCTGGATGACTTTTGTTGAAACTGGCAGATTGGTGACTGTTATGTGGCGGTCGCAGGCGTTCCTAAGCCAAGAGAAGATCATGCTGTGGTCATGTGCAGGTTCGCCAATGATTGTCTCCACAAAATGCAAAAACTCACCAAAGTTCTTGCAGAAGGATCACTTGGCTCTGATACCTCCAGTCTCTCATTTCGTGTTGGTCTACACAGTGGCCCGGTAAGGAATCATCTGCAGCCAGTTGGATCTTGTTCTGGTGATTCCAACAAACTCATATCATAATGGTATCTCTTTCCTCTGCTCCTGTTAGGTAACTGCAGGTGTTCTACGTGGTGGTAAGTCAAACAATGAAGTTCATCCTGTCATGCCGCCAGGTCTCTCACAGGAATGATTTTGTGCACAACAGACAAAGGACGCTTCCAGTTGTTTGGGGACACAATGAATACTGCATCACGCATGGAGTCAACAGGGGTCAAGAACAAGATTCAGGTTTCCCAGGAGGCTGCAGATATCCTTGTGGCAAAGGGTTATCAAAAGTGGCTTACACCACGGGAAGACCCGGTTCATGCAAAGGGGAAGGGCACACTGCAAACCTATTTTGTAACCATTGCGAGTGATTCAACAGCATCTGCGCAAAGTTCTAATGGATTAAGTGGCAATGGGACGTTTGAGCTTCCTCTGGCTCCTGCAATTGCCAGCGAAGATACCAACACGAACAGCATCGCTCAACGAGAGCAAGGAGAAGTTGCCAGTGAAATTTCCAGAGAATGCAGCACCTATCAAGGAGAGCAAAGAGGGGCTGATGTTTTTGAAGATGAGAATTCTGTGATTGACATCGTTTATGTTTGAGACCACATCCTGCTTTCTTGCCTCCAACTGCTTCAAATTGCTTCCATAATCTTCCTCTCTCTTCTCCAATCCTTCCCTCCGATCTTGATCCATTTCTCCCAGCCCTCCATTGGTGTTACACCTTGGTATGGCCTCACAGCATCTCGTTGATAGGAAACTGGTGCCAAACACTCTGTGGAGGGGAAGGAACTCCAATATTTCTAGCTAGATTATGAGTTTTTCCACGATGTTGCGCTACATATGCATTGGATGTTCTTCTAACCGTAGTAGTCGTTAGTAGTAGTTGTCGTGGTTGCAATTGAAGTTAACGTAGAGCTTACTATGCTGTTAGAGTGGACTGGGTACACACACAGTGTTGTCGGTCGGACTCAATGAAGCAGAGAGTTTGGATTCGGAACAATGCACCATAGACCAGGAGCAGCAGGGGACAGACTAGCTGTAGAGATCAAGAGCGCCACGATCAGCTATCCCAAAGACGTGGTGAGCTCATACTATTGGCAGGAACTGGAGCCACGAAGACACATCGTAGCGACTCTAGTTTAAACGAAGTGGGGTCACTGTACGAAGCCAAACCAAGTGGTCGTAGGCTCCGTAGCCGAGAGGAGCGACACGAGGAGAGGTGTTGTCACGGAGAGGAACTAGATATCAGGTTCCAACAGGAAGAGGAACCACAGAGGTACTTCTGTGGGAGTTTCCAGATCCAATACAAGCCATCGAAGCATTGCTGATACGGTAGAGCAGAAGTGCGACGGAAATCCGACGCGAACAAGCCATATTGCCAACACGATTACTCGTCATCGACACGGTGCGTATCCGCCAAGGACACCTTTGTGCTCGGAACAATAACGCAACCTGCCGCAACCTGCCCGCAACCTGCCCGACAAGGTAGAAGAACTCGAAGCGCCGAGGAAAAAAGACTCTTCCAAGCGCTGTTCCTTCTAACGTTGTCTTGCACTCTTCATGGTGTTGTCTGTAAAAGTCGATCGATTTGATAGTGTTGCCTGATGTCACTTGTCCGGTATCTTTTAGCTATCTACACTGTAGCTATCCAACAAGATTGGCGTGGTACCGGTATCGATGCCCTTTCCGGAACCATCCAGCGTTCGTAATAGCTAGCCCAGCTAGCTAGAGTACGACTGTGCGAGTGCTGCTGTTACAGGAGGGTTGTAGTGGGTTTGTAGAATCCTGCTGGAACTTCACGTGGTGGCTGCAATCAGGCAGGTAGTGGAAAGCCTTGGGTACCGGTACTTGTCGGTGCTGGAACCGACGGAGGAGCTGTATGGTGGGGTTGTCCAGGGACTGCCGGAGGGTTTCTTTGAGTGACCTAGCTATAGCGACTGCGATGTCAAGTATTGACAAGGGACTGTGGAAAACCAACGGTCCATTGTGGAACCTGACCTGTGGCCACTAGAACTGATACCGGTACGTTGGACGCATTACTTGTCATGGCAATCGTGGCGGTGGGTGATAAAGGAAACTTATCCAATCTTTCTCGAGAAATGACGTGTCCATTTTCGCGCTGGACTGAACTTGCTAGCTTTCTGGATAAAGGACCTGTGAGTTGGGGCCGAACGAGCAAAGTGTGGTCCCTGTTGGATGGTCTACGGACCCTGTCGAAACATCTCTGGCTCTCTGAGAGCGCAACTCGGCAATGGGCGTCGACATTGGGTTCTGCTCCGTGGAAAGGCGAACAAGTTTGATAGGACGTACAAAGGCGCATATAGCTCCTCTGCCAACTACAAGCCAACCAGGAAGTCGCTGCCGGGCAAAAGTGATCTCAAAAGCGGCATTGCCACCGTACCGCAAACGTTTTCTTCGGATAATCAGCTTTAGTACAGGGCAACCATTTTGATTCGATTGATCATTCATAGCAAAGCTCCGCAATCAGCAATTGAAGAACTTCACAAGGACTTCGCGACTTCTTCTTCGGCCAGCATTTCGTGGCTTCGAGTAAGGAAGGAAGTACTGTGCATGTCCCGAGTAGCTACTCCGCAAATCGAGCATCGGAGCCAGAAGTGTACGTTATAGTCGAGGCCAACCACTGCTCTTTCTGTTTCCTCTAACAGCATCAAGCCCAGCAAGATAGCTAGCTAGCTGGCCCGGCATGCAATGAAGATTTAAGCCAACGAATCGAATCCTGTTACCAAGCAAGGGGCCTTCTTTTGGCAGCTCTCCCAGCACTCACTTTGACACGTACATTTGTTTCTAGTAGCACGCATTTTGTGGCCACTATGGTTAACTAGCTGTTAACTCCACGCTTTCGGAATAAATAGACTTCCTTCCGTGTGGCAGTGCAGTCACTGAGACCACGGGAACACAAGACGAAGACCTTGGTCACCGGAAGGGGGTCATACCAGACTGGGTGCTATAAATGTGGCAACTGTTCGAGAAGTCAACCAGCTTGCTGAGCTCTTGTTGTTCCATTTTCCCGATCACAAACTGTCAGTTGTCAGTAGAAACTCAATGGTGGAGGTCTGTGGCAAAGCTCCAGCGCGCCTATTGACGAATTGGAAGAGTGTGGAATGAGCTGTCGTATCTCGAATGCGGAGAGTCTGAGACTGCGACTGGAGAAGCTACCGCTATGTACGCTTGACTGCTAAATGTCCAAACCGAATCGGACGATCTTTTCACCAGCGGCAACTGTTCCAATGACTTCAATCTTTCTTTGGCTTTTATACCCAAACTAGCAGTCGGAGAACGGTGGTACGGGTACATCGTACTACCGGTACATACTCTGAAGTATTTTGATACTAAGTCTTTTTGCTGCAACTACAGCAAGCAGCATAAGTCCCTACACGTGCTGTAATCTTGCATATTATCCTTCTCTTGATTATAGGACTTCAGTTTTCACTATTTTTATTTAACTCCGTCTTATTCGGCTGACACTTTCTACATGGATGGAACACCTAGAAAAGCGGAACACCTCAGCGCTTCTTTCGGAGCTTGGTTGGTATTTACTGCAGTAAATCCGGGTTACTGGCTCCTTACTGTCCAATTACTGCCATTGTTGGCCACCTAATTACTGCAGTAAGTAATCCCATGCAGTAAGTAATCTGCCTTTGCAACAGTAATATCCAGTAAATGACAGTAAAAGCACAGTAATTAGCCTTTATTACTGCAATTACTGTAGTTTACTGCCTTCAATTGGCTTTAAATTACTGTGCATAATTACTGCTACTGAGGAATTACTGCATTACTGCCATTACTGCTCCTTTTACTGACCTCATGGCAGTAAGGAATAAACAGTAAATACCAACCAAGTTTCGGAGCACTAAGTTTGCTGGTACCGCATCCAAGAGTCTCAAACTATCGTCCGTTGTCGGTGGTACGCTCAGCCTCACTCAACCAAACTCAACTCCACACCACCAAACCCCAATCAAGCGGTCCTCAAAGTTTTGCCACACCGCGTCTTGAAACCAAGCCAAACCAAACCAAACCAAACGAGTTGCTGACACGAAGCCATGGAAGATATCAGTGAAGAACTTTCTAACTCTGCCCTGAGCGAGCCTCAGAATACCACCACAGGAGTGTGTTACAGAGATGAGGAAACTGGGGACGAAACAAACCGTGATATCTCAAAGATCAAGAAGCATGCCACCAGGACCTGGATGATTACTTTCTTGTTGGTGAGCATGGGAGCTGCTGCCAGTGTAGCCTTTCTGTACATTGGCATTAGTGGGGCTAGTAATGACCAGAAAGAGAGCTTTGAACGTAGGGCTAGTGACGTCTCCAAAGAGATTGATGGTGCTTGGGATGACTATGAGGCAGCAGCTCGTTGGACTCACTCTGAGTGCCGCAACTGGAGGACTGACAACTTCACGCATCAGGACTTTGAAGCTCTCTATTACTACCTAATTGAAGAAGGCCTGAACTTCTACTCTATCAATTGGGTCCCAAACATTACCCATGCAGAGAGACCTCTAGTGGAAGAGAAAGAGGGGGGCTTTTGGAAGAACAATATTGAAGGTGCAGAAAACTATGCTGGTTTCACAGGCCAAGAACCAGATCCAGACCATCCAGGTGAACTCATCTATGCCAACAGATCCGAACAAGCTTTCTACTTTCCAATTTATGTAAGTTTCCATTTATGTTGAAGGTTTGCATGGGTATCTGCTTGACTCCAACCAATAACTAACACTTTCTCCCTGCCACCCTATCCTTCTCCACGTTCCAGTTTGTGGAACCCAAGAGTGCTGCTGCTAGCATCATTCACTATGATCTTTTCAGTGCTCCCTGGGAAAGTCCTGCCATTTCCAAAGCTCTGGAGACCTACCAACCTGCCCTCACTGGAAGGTTCGTCCTTGCACAGCACGCACCCGAGGATGGCTACAGTACACTGCTTTATCACCCTGGTGTCAAACTCCCAAGTCACCTTGCACAAGAACGTCACGACGTTACCACCATCGTTATGACGCTCAACCCCTTTCTCCAGCATGCAGCTCGCGTCCAGCAGGAGCCAATGGCGGTTTACCTCTATGACAAGACCTTGGCAGAAATGGATGAAGAAGCTCCCTTTGAATTCTTGGGTGGAGTGCAAGTGAAATACGAGAATGAAGACCGCAGCAAGCGCAAAATGACAAATCTAATGGAAACAGAGTATGCTACTCTACAGGACTCCTCTGACCTCTACTATGAACGAGACATCCATGCTGGAGGGAGGACCTGGGCAATTGTGGTTATCCCAGTGGAGGGTGATACCTCCTTCCAACCAGATGTCATTTTTGCCATTCTCTGTGGAGTAATGATCTTTGCTGCCTCATTGCTGCTGGCATGGATCTGGGTTATGCACAACCGCAGCCGAACACACCAAGTCATGAAAATTGTGGACAAGGCAGCTGCAGAGTCCAGGATTGTCTCAGACCTGTTCCCGGCCGCTGTCCGAGAATCCATGATTCACCAGCAAAGAGTCTCCCAAGCTGAGAAAGCAAGAGATGACGCCAGCAGTTCCAAAGATTCATTTTTGATGCAGGATCGCAGTGAATTCAACATGTTTCAGGATCCTGACGATGATGGTCGGAAAACAATAGAAGGAGTTTACTTGACAAAGCCAATTGCCCACCGTTATGACGCCTCTACAATCATGTAAGTGCACCAGTCATACTGTATGCTCCATAACTAAATGGGAACCTCACCTAGCTCACCCCCCTTTTGAATTTTGGGCTGCCCAGGTTTGCGGACTTGGCCGGTTTCACTGCTTGGAGCTCCAGCAGATCACCAGAAGATGTGTTTACTCTCCTTGAGACTCTGTATGGTGCTTTTGATGAAATAGCCAGACGGCGAAGAGTGTTCAAGGTGGAAACAGTGAGTACTTGGCCTAATTTCTCTTGATGCAGGATGACCAAATCCTCACTCGCTTCCTGGATGACTTTTGTTGAAACTGGCAGATTGGTGACTGTTATGTGGCAGTCGCAGGCGTTCCCAAGCCAAGAGAAGATCATGCTGTGGTCATGTGTCGGTTTGCGAAGGACTGTCTCCACAAAATGCAAAAACTAATCAAAGTTCTTGCAGAAGGATCACTTGGCTCTGATACCTCCAGTCTCTCATTTCGTGTTGGTCTACACAGTGGCCCGGTAAGAAATCATCTGCAGCCGGCTGGATCTTTTGCAGTCATGGATCTTTTGGCGGCAAACTCATCCAATAGTATCTCTTTCCTCTGTTCCTGTTAGGTAACCGCGGGTGTTCTACGTGGTGGTAAGATTACCTTTTAGACAGTGAAGTTCTCCCCTTCACGTCAGAAGGTCCCTCACACAAATGACTCTGTACCGGTACACAACAGACAAACGGCGCTTCCAGTTGTTTGGGGACACAATGAATACTGCATCACGAATGGAGACAACAGGGGTTGAGAACAAGATTCAAGTTTCCCAGGAGACTGCAGATCTTCTTATTGCAAGGGGGCATAAAAAGTGGCTTACACCTCGCGAGGCCTTGGTTGAGGCAAAAGGAAAGGGCACAGTGCAGACGTATTTTGTGAACATTGCCAGTGGTTCTGTGGCATCTTCCCAAGCTTGCGACCACGCCAGAGGCAAGATGGATTTCCGATCTTTTGCCAGTGAAACTACAGGTTCCAGTGACGGCACCGCCTCCGAGGAGGAGCAAGCAGGGGCCGACATGCTTGAAGAAGAGCATGGAGTGACAGACATCGTGAACATCTAACTTCCCTACTCTAAACCCCCTTTCACATTAAGAGTTCAGACGACCTTAGCTACATAACCGTATATTGCACTGCTTCACTCTCTTGTGTGTTGTAGTGTAGCATCCTTCGATTGACGACGGTTGCCTTTCAATGACTCGACGACAATTTCTGGTGGGTTGTCAATTCGCTCGATACTTTTGTTGCCGTTCAATGATCTGTTGAGGCTGGTGATAGGCTAACAGAGCCCTCTGTAGCGATTGATCGAAGCAGCCTCTCTCATTTTTATTCTGTGCCAGCCATCGACTCAAAGCGTTTCATGGGGCGTCGGCGATGCAGCAGAGAAAACACGAAATAGACTTGGTCGGCTTGTCAATACAGTGGTACCGGTAGAGGTGCGACCGATGGACTCGACCGGATGGAATAAAGAACTCACCGCAACAACTCTCCGGATGGCGGTTGAGATCTGACTGCCCTCCCGCGGTCCATGGAAAAAATGAAGGGTGGCTTTCAGTTATGCACCTTCAATACGGTAGCAGGTTTGGCTGGTAGTAGCAGGCTTGACCGAGGCTCCTCCTGTGTTGCGACGTGCAACTGGCCGGCCGAGTGCTATGATAGAGTAGCCTCCAAATCTATGTCCAAACACAGGACTCACCTCGTACCAATACGTGTAATAGTAGTACCAGCGATCGGTTTGACTCAGGCTGTCCTTTTCAAAGGAGCCGTCAAATTAGTGACGTTTGGTTTTCAGTTCAGTTCTACACTGGACGTTGGAGAAGCTCGGATTGGATATCATTGGATCCTCTTGGATGATAAAGAACTCATCCAACAACAGCCAACAACCGGGCAAGCTTGCTTGGATCTTTGCTCTGGAAGGTGTTCTGACTACTACTGTAATCTCGTAGCGGCGAGGCCCTAAAGAATCGTGGCAACTGTGGCATGTCGCAAGGAAGTCGACGCATGATGGAGTTTCCTTTTCCCGTTCACATCGCTTCAGGTGCCAGTGGGTGGGTGGAGCTCTGTGGCCAATGGTCAAGCTCCGATTTGTAGATGAGCTTGGAGACTTGTTGGAGATTGGAGAAGGATGGGCTCTGGACGGCATCGGAAAAATGAATGTCCAACTTGACTGATGGTATCGGTACGGTATCTTCCATAATAAGTCTTCATCAGTATGAACGAAAGTTCTACGTTCAACTGGGGCAACTGTTCCAATGACATCTTCTTGACTCTGAAGAAAAAACGGTACAGCTGTAGTGCTTCTAACTACTACTGGAGTCACTTCCACTACTAGTAGCTCTTCTACTAGCTAGAGCCCTCTTCTAACTTTAAAATTTTATAAAAAAGACAGCTTTGGAAGACAGGAAGATGCGGTAATAAAGTACCTTTTTCAATTGAAGATTGGAAGTATTCTAAAGCTAGGTTAACCCAAATGTTACCGTAACTACCATTCTAAGCCTTCCTGAATCACCACTGGGAACTACGATACGGTATACCGGACCTTACGGTAGTCTAGTAACTATTGTGCTAGCTAGCTAGTAGTACTCGGAGTTTTCAGCGTTGATGACATTGTGCACTGCAGCTGTTCAGCTGTTCGGCTTGACTGCTCTTGCTTCTTGTTGTTCCTGCCATTCTGACTTCGGTCTAACTATTTCACTATTTCCTTACACGTGTAGTACCATAACTGTTTTGCCCTTACTGCAGTGCTACATGTACACACTCGTCACTAATAAAAGGCTCCTTCTCTGGTTCGATTCTTACATTCTAACTGCTCGTACTCAACTACTGTGGCAAGTCTAGGTCTTTCCAAAACTGACCAGACACCTTCCGATGTCACTGCGGCGGCTTTTGACATTTAATTTTGCTGATATTGTATCCCAGCAGGATTCTCAAAGTACCGTACAAGCCCCAGCCCCATGCAAACAGGTCATTGTTTTGCTTTTGCTTTTGCCGCAACGCCTCTTGAAACAAAACCAAAGGAATTGCTTGTACTGACAAGAAGAGCTCAAGAAGCCATGGAAGATATCAGCGAAGAACTTTCGAACTCTGCCCAGAGCGAGCCTCAGAATTCCACTACAGGAGGGTGTTACCAAGATGAGGAAAATGGGAATGATACAAACCGTGATATCTCAAAGATCAAGAAGCATGCCACCAGGACCTGGATGATTACTTTCTTGTTGGTGAGCATGGGAGCTGCTGCCAGTGTCGCCTTTCTTTACATGGGCATTAGCGGGGCTCAAAACCAACAGAAAGAGAGCTTTGAACGTCGAGCTAGTGACTTTTCCAAAGAGATTGATGGTGCCTGGGATGACTATGAGGCAGCAGCTCGTTGGGTTCACTCAGAGTGCCGCAACTGGAGGACTGACAACTTCACCTATAACGACTTCGAAGGTGTCTACAACTACATTATTGATCGAGGACTGAACTTCTACGCTATCAATTGGGTCCCAAACATTACCCACGCAGAGAGACCTCTAGTGGAAGAGAAAGAGGGGGCCTTTTGGAAGAACAACATTGAAGGTGCAGAAAACTATGCTGGTTTCACAGGCCAAGAACCAGATCCAGACCATCCAGGTGAACTCATCTATGCCAACAGATCCGAACAAGCTTTCTACTTTCCGATTTATGTAAGTTCATTACAAATATGTAGATGTTACAGTATTGTATGCTCGTGAACCCCAACCAATGACTAACAATATCTCCTTGCTACCCTATCCTTCCCCACATTCCAGTTTGTTGAACCCAAGGCTGAATCTGCTAGCATCATCCACTATGATCTTTTCAGTGCTCCCTGGGAAAGTCCTGCCATGTCCCAAGCACTGGAGACCTACCAACCTGCCCTCACTGGTAGGTTCGTCCTTGCACAGCACTCACCCGAGGATGGCTACAGTACACTGCTGTATCACCCCGGCGTCAAACTCCTGGATCAGTCTGAACAAGAACGCCATGACCTTGCCAGCATCCTTATGACGCTCAACCCCTTCCTCCAGCATGCAGCTCGTTTCCAACAGGAGCCAATGGCAGTTTACCTCTATGACAAGACTTTGGCAGAAATGGATGGAGCTCCCTTCGAATTCTTGGGTGGAGTGCAAGTGAAATACGAGAATGAAGACCCCAACAGCCGTCAAGTGACAAATCTGATGGAAACAGAGTATGCTACTCTACAAGACTCCTCTGACCTCTACTATGAACGGGATATCCATGCTGGAGGGAGGACCTGGGCAATTGTGATTATCCCAGTGGAGGGTGATACCACCTACAAACCAGATGTAATTTTTGCCATTCTCTGTGGAGTTATGATCTTTGCTGCCTCAGTGCTGCTGGCATGGATCTGGGTTATGCACAACCGCAGCCGAACACACCAAGTTATGGAGATTGTGGACAAAGCAGCCGCAGAGTCCAGGATTGTCTCAGACTTGTTCCCGGCTGCCATCCGAGATGCCATTATTCACCAGCAAAGAGTCTCCCAAGCTGAGAAAGCAAAAGATGATGCTGTCACCTCCAAAGATCCGTTTTTGATGCAGGATCGTAACGAGTTCAACTCATTTCAGGACCCTGAGGACGACAGTCGGAAAACCATAGAAGGATTTTACTTGACCAAGCCAATTGCCCACCGCTATGACGCCTCTACAATCATGTAAGTGGTCCAGTCCTACTGTGGGCTACATGACAAACAGCTGAGCTCACCTATTTCACATTCTGTTTCGTCTGCAATGCACAGGTTTGCTGATTTGGCCGGTTTCACTGCTTGGAGCTCCAGTAGATCGCCAGAAGATGTGTTTACTCTCCTTGAGACTCTCTATGGTGCTTTTGATGAAATTGCCAAGCGGCGTAGAGTGTTCAAGGTGGAAACCGTAAGTAGTCCATCTAATTTTAATCGGTGAATGATCGATTAGTGACCCATGCAATCCGACCCATGCAAACCTCATTTGCTTCTTGGATGACTTTTGTTGAAACTGGCAGATTGGTGACTGTTATGTGGCGGTCGCAGGCGTTCCTAAGCCAAGAGAAGATCATGCTGTGGTCATGTGCAGGTTTGCTAATGATTGTCTCCACAAAATGCAAAAACTAATCAAAGTTCTTGCAGAAGGATCACTTGGATCTGATACCTCCAGTCTCTCATTTCGTGTTGGTCTACACAGTGGCCCGGTAAGAAATCATCTGCAGCCAGCTGGATCTTTTTGCAGTCATGGATCTTCTGGCTAGCAAAACTCATACAATGATATCTCATTTGTCTGCTCCTGTAGGTGACAGCAGGAGTTCTACGTGGGGGTACGTAAACCTTGTAAACAGTGATTCGAACTTTTGTGTCAGAAGGCATCTCACAGGAGTGATTTTGTACACAACAGACAAAGGACGCTTCCAATTGTTTGGGGACACAATGAATACTGCATCACGAATGGAGTCAACAGGGGTCAAGAACAAGATTCAGGTTTCCCAGGATACTGCAGATATCCTTGTTGCAAAGGGGTATCAAAAGTGGCTTACACCACGCAAAGACCCGGTTCAGGCAAAGGGGAAGGGCACAGTGCAAACTTATTTTGTGAACATTGCCAGTGGTTCTGTGCCATCTTCCCAAGCTTCCGACCACATCAATGGCAAGACAGATTTCCGAAGTGATGCCACTGCAGACATAGGTGCCAGTGATACCACCGCAGACACAGGTGCCAGTGATACCACCGCCTCCGAGGAAGAGCATGCAGGGGCAGAGCATGCAGGGGCCGACACGTTCCAGGAAGAGCATGAGGTGACTGACATCGTCAACATCTAAGAGTTCAGATGAAATTGGCTACATAACTGTATACTGCACCTCTACCCTTGGCTACCGGTACTCTTTCAGTAGCGCTACCCTGTAGTTTGACTCTCCGGGCGGATCGGGGAAGATATCTTCCGGGGACAATGTGGGTGAATTGAATCTGCACAGTCAGGAGCTGTGCGGCTGGCTGAAGGATATTATTCTAGTTTGTGTAGTGACGCTCAGTTCTATCGAGACCTTCTCGTGAGACGACGTGGGACTACACCGATTTCCCAGAAGTATCTCTGAGCCTCAATGAAACTCATACTGTAGCCAACAGGAATACCGGTAGCCTTCGTGACGTTTGACTAGATCCCTTTCCATGTTCTGATGGATGAGAAGACTCCTGCAGGCACCCTGCACGAGCAACTGACTGTACCGTAGCGGCGCGTGTATCGGTAGCTTCAACGCAGCCAGTCTTTTCTGCCAGCTTCGTTGGAGCCTAGCCTGCCACTGACTTGGTCCTCTCAATTGGCGTGCTTGACGAGACGAACCCACGACCACGGGACGTCGTCGTTGTTTCCCGAATCTACTGTAGGCTGCCCGCTCCTCATCGTCATTGGTACATATATAGCTTCTTCGGTCGTCGCTCGATGGCGCCAATCGTTGGCGGCTCCAGTGGCGGTTACCGTAGGGCTGGCTGAAAGGGGTCCATGAATGCTCGGACAGACTTGCTTCTCGGAAAATGGTGATGCTAAGCGTCCTCGATCGCCCAAGAGTGCACGCCGACTATAGTTGTAGTTCGTTGAGACTCTGGAACGGGCGGCGGGCGGCATTGTGCCTTGATGTAGATAGATTTCACCCCCACAGAGTGTCGGTTCATAGAAAGTTTGTGAGTAAAGTCGTGCGTCTTACCTTGGTCGCGTCGTCGTCTTAGTTTGATAGACATCCGAGATTGCTATCCCTGAGAACGACTTGCTTGTCCTGAAGTACTATTCGAAAGTGTAGGTTTTGGGACTCTTTCGGGCTTGTGGCTGGGGTATACCGTACCGGGAGTGGCACTGTGAACTCTGCATTGTGTACACAGGCAGCGTTGCTCGAGGACTGACTGAGACCGGCTTCCTCGCTCATCGTTAGCTGGAAACTCAGGCTGGTTTCTCTAATACATGTACTAATGAAGCTCCACCCAGATCTAGCTAGACCTATCGATTGGCTGGATGCACCACCTCTTACTGTTTGTCATCTTTGAAGACTCGACTTGACCTGTTGAGTTATTCACGTGTCCTTGGATACCGGTGTCTCCTGCTTTGATGTCTTATAACAAATCTTATTCTGTTGAAAGCAACTTGATGTCCCAATTGCACTTTCGCAGCTTCCTTAGATATCTTCCCTACAGTACAGTCCTACTAGTACTCTAAAAAAACTTGACACTTGATGTTCCTTGCATCCAAATGAACCATTCGTTACCGTTACCAACACCTTGTGCCTTGTGCCCCCATCTTTTGCTACTGGTATTAACATGGTACTTGATTCTGAATGACTGCATGGCTTGTTTGGCTTGTCAAGGCAGCAGCCATGGCGTGCTGCTATCATTATTGGTGTAGCAGTTCAGAGCTGGCTCGATGAACATTTATGGTTGTGCTCTCTACCCGCCGATAAAGCTTAATAAAAACATGAGACGGTACGCGTTTGCAGATGCAAGTCCCGGTTGACTCCTGGCCTGTTTTGGCCGTTCTGGTCGTTCTGGTACTGTACCAGGTGCCGGTGCCAAGTCTTTCCGTGCGAGAAAGTATACCGGAGGATGACTCTTGCCCTATTTTGTGTGCTTTCGCACAAATCCTTTGTGTGTGCTGCTCGTAATCCACACAATAAAAACCACCAACCAAATCTTTTTTGGTGAAAAGGTTTTTTTTGTATTTTTGTGGATATTACGGTACAAAGAAAAAGGATCACGATGAGGATCTCCCTGCCATGCCTCGTCCTTGTTGGATTGGCGTCGAGTGGCAAGAGTCAAATGATCGACATTACGTTTCGTGTCGGGCTCTTGCACGCCCCACCGTTTACGTTCATTGCCGAGGAAGAAGATCGCGAAGGTACCAACGCTGATTTTTCAGGTTTCACGCCGGACTTGCTCAACAGTTTGGTCGAATTTGCCAAGGCGGACAATTTCAACCTGAACCTCGTCATGAGTCCATCCCCACCGGAATACAATCCTGCATTTGACTTGGTGGCCAGCGACTGTGAGGAAGTTTCCATGGACCCACCGATTCCTCTTCCCCCAGAAGAATGCGAGAATTTTGACATCATGGCACCCAACTATTATGCCACCGCCGCACGATCTTTGCGGGCTGGACTGACTCCCCCCATTCAACGATCCTCCATCTCGACCATCAAGCTCAAGTCGAGCAACATCAACTCGTTGGCGCAAGCGGAAGCGGAAGGTGGCGTGGTTTGCCTCGTGGAGGGGACGTTTTACGCGGGACTGGTCCAGGATACGTACCCGGCCGCGGAATACGTGTTTTGTCCCACCGCGGGCGATTGCAAGCAAAATTTGCAGGATGGAGTCTGCGTCTTGGATGCGGACGATGAGCTCATGCTGCGATACGCAGCGGCTCAGGATTCATCCTTGGAGGTAACAGATGACTCGTTCAGTACACAGTACATTGTCTATGCGTACAAGGATAGCTTACCCGCAGACGATGCCAGATGGTTTGAAAAGTGGATGTGGGATGCCAATACCAACACCACCAATGATCAGTTGTTCCAAAAGTACTTTTCCGGCACATCAGCTGAAGATGGAATTGTAAGCTACCTCCCATCTCGTCTCTCGTTGTTGACATTTACTTGCATGCTTGGATCCTAACACACTTTTTCATTTCTGCCTTTCCTTTGACTTGCTGCTTGCTTGTCCATGATGACAATCTTGCTTTAATGTCTGCTTTTTGTACGGTATTGCGATATATAGGACGCGGGTTGCCCCACATGCTCTTGTGATGATCCTCTCTATGAATTTGCCAGCGGCGATGAAGAGCCCAACAAGAACTCTCGAAAGGGAGTACCTGGATCAAGGAGGACTCGAGGATTGAAAGGGTAAAACCATGCAATGCAATGCAGACCAGACTTTTACGAAACACCTACCTGAACAGAAACATCACTGAACTGAAAAAGCCTGGATCCCTCGTTTTGCTTTTGTTTGTAGCTAGCAAGAAATACAGAAGGTACACATAGCAATCATGCATGCACGCACACGGATAAATAGTTGTTATGGAAGGCAGAAAGAAGACTAGCCAGTAACAATAAAAAGACAGTTCCTTTTTTGCCTGCCAAACCATTTCTAGCTAGTGTACTTGTTTAACCCATGTTTTGCTTATCATAGAAGCTACTAGCTGGTCATAATGAGAGTGATAGGAGAGCTCTTCTCCAAAGTGGCCTGGGAGAGGTACTTTCCCCACAAGAGCACAAGAGTCCAGCTCGTACCAAGCAATAGCCACAAGTACAGTTAATGGCCACAGTACGGTATCAATCCGCCCTCTCCACACTTGGATCTGTCCTTCTATGAAGAGATGCACCAAGAGAAAGACTCTGATTGCACATGCACTCGAGACAAGAAAGCAAGCCATAGGGTCAGCTCTCATAGCTGCTCTCATGGATACTGGTACTAGCTAGCTAGTAGTAGGGTTCCCATGCAATGTAAGAATGCCCACCGGTTTCAATGACATCATCGTGACCTCACATGCATCATTTGATTCGATTCCATTCCATTCCGAATGATCCGTCAAAGATAGACTACAGTCGTACTAATACTGTGAGTATCCAAAACATCGACCGGTGCAATTCGCTCATGCCTTCGCTGATGCATGAATGAACGGACAACTTGCTCTTTCAACAATCCGAAGCAAACCGTGACGGTTGCACTAAGACTAGCCAAATTTTTCAAACACATGCTGACTGGCTCGACGGCCTCTTTGAGGTTTTCCAAATGCGAGCACAATGAGGATCCAAGGGAGCAAGTAGGTACCGTTGACCATACAATACGCGACCACACAGGCTTTGCTGACAGCAACCATAGACTACCTGGTACTAGTAGCTATCCTCTCCTCGTGCAAGATTACGGCTGGCTACTTGTCTTCCTCCTCTGGTGGTGCGACGACGACGAAACTTCGTCACTCGCCATTGCAACAACAAGAGTGTCGTTCTCCTCCAATTGATTCCAAGAACGTTCGATTTGTTGATCCAGACTTGACAGCAGAGACGCCCCGTCAAAGCAACGCCATGGCGACATCTCCCAACCGTGGTTTTGGGACTCCTGGTCCCCGCGTCCCCAAGAGCGGCGTCAAGCTGTCGGTAGTCACAACCCCCGTGTCGCATTCCACACGCAGTACGTCGTCGGGTTCCATGATGACAACGCCCTCCTTTTCCTTTCACAGTCCTCACAATGGTAGTAGTAGTAGCAGTGTGAGTGGCGGTGGTTACAATTTGGGCAGTCTCAGCAAAGGCAACAAATTCCATCATCATCATCACCACAATCACAACTCTTCCAGTCTCTTTTGGAACAAAAAGAATCGATCGTCCATTCTATGGATGTGTCTGTTACTCCTCATGGGCGCCATCAATATGGCCTATCAATGGTACAATAACGACGTCAGAGCCGATTTTGGGATTCTATTGAACATGGGAGGAGCAAGACCGAATGGAGTAGTCAATCAACAAGCAGAGACACCACCAATACGCAGTGGCAAGCCGTTTGAATGGAAACCACCGGCTGCCCTTCGTGCGGCTGCTGATACTGCTGACACGGACACCACAACTACTACATTGTCCAATCAACAGCAACAGCAAGAACCAGTATTTGACTACACACTGCCAGCGTCATCGGATGCCACTGTGGTCTTTTATCATATCTATTTTCCACCCACAGACGAAGGACGACTAAATTCCCTTCGCATCATTGCCGAACAACTGCAACAACTCGCCAACAGTACTACCAGTCCCAACTTTGTCCTATACTACAATACCATTGGAGAACAAACTCCAGCCCTCGAAGACACACACATTCAGCAACTGTGTCTCCGATCCAAACTTACGTGTCATGCCATGCAGCATTTTAGTGAGGGCATGGAAGACAAGACCCTCCAACCACTGCATGACTTTTGTAGTCTTCAAACAGAGCCGGAAACAGACTATTCCGTAGTATATCTTCACAACAAGGGCTCCTTCAATGCCAAACCACTCAATGAAGTCTGGCGGTATCAAATGACACAGGCCGTGGTCAGTCCAGAGTGTCAGCAACACACGACTAATGTTCCGGGACAATGCAATCTCTGCGGCCTTTACTTTTCCGCCGAACGAGGACTTTTCATGGCCGGCAACATGTGGCGCAGCAAATGCAGTTATGTCCGCAACTTGTTGCCGCCACGGGATTTCCAAGACGCCATGCATGCCATTACGGCACAAGCATTAATGGAACGATTGCGGTTTCGATTCGTCATGACGCTGCAAGAACTACGCGCCGGTGTCTTTGGCATTGATCGGTATGCCACGGAATTTTGGATTGCCTCGCATCCATTTGTCCGACCCTGTGACTTTTCCAAGGCCATTGCACCACCCACGTCCTATGACATGACGGAAATTTTCTTGCGGTGGTTGCGGGTACAGGAACCGCACAATGGGACATTGGAATCCGAATGGTTTGCCAAAACGGCACCTCATCATCCACTGCCGATTTTTAATGGACAAGGTTTGGACGTGGCACGATTTCCTGATGTTCGTCTTCGGGAGTACTTTTTGTTGGCCGGCAATCTCTTTCGATGGTATGGACTCTACGGACAAGCACCGCCCGTGGCACCCACGTCGTGGGTCTACGAGTGGTTCCCAGATGGGGCCAAATGGAAGGCTGCCGTGCAAGAACATGACAAGGACAGTGTGGAGTTCATGACAGAGGCTGCCTTGCAAATGGAAATTGAATCGGGACGCAACAAGTTCACACGTGACAATACCAAACCCCAACCGCCCAATGGTTTTGTCAATACGAACAGCAACAATAAAAAGAAGTCTCGGGCTAGTAACAAGAAGCGAAAGACAGGAAAAAACAGAAAAGCCGCTGGCCGGTAAGGCAACCGTGTTGCCTTTGCTTCTTTTTGTCATGTCCATACACGCACTCACTCTACAGTACAACTATTACTGTAGCTAGCCAGATTGTTAATGTCCTCTGGCTAGTAACACTATAGAAAAAGATCCAGTTTTGTTGTTATCTCGCGACGTTGACCTAGCTATAGTGTATTGTCGTTCTCCTTGTCCCGGTACTGCGTCGTCCATGGCTAAAGATGTTGTCAGCAACATTGATTCTACAGTACATGTCTCTGCTACAACCTACTAGCTAGCTATAGCTATATATACTCTACCAGGGAAAGTTCTTCGAAATACAGCACTATAGATTAGCTTACAGCAAAGGACCAAAACATTCGTTTCCAAAGAGAGCGGAGGCTCTCAAAAAGCAACGAAGCGGCAACGTCCTCCACAAAGCAAACCACAACCAAGAGCATGCATGGGACCGGCGGTAAGAATCATATAGAGCCCATGCAAATGAATTACATCCAATCAATCAACCAACGAGACAAGAACCATTCAAATTCCGGATCACAAGCGCAAAGTTAGCGCAAGCGCATCATCATACCAGCACCCTTCTTGGTGGTCATGGAATCTTCTTCCTCGTCCACTTCCACAATGCTCAATCCGCGACGAAGCATGGGGCCACCCATGTCCGAGGCATCTGTAGCGTTTCCATCAGCCACAGTCTCGTTGTAGGGAGAGTACTTCTTGGCAGCCATCTTCATCTTGCCATCCTTCTTGGCCGCCATCTTCATCTTGCCATCCTTCATCTTACCATCCTTCTCTTCCCCTTTCTTGGTCCCCTTCTTCTTACCCATAGACATGGGAGGACTGGTTGGGGCATCAGTGGCATTGGTTTCAGTAGTGTTTGTTTCAATGGTCATTGACATCATGCCCATCATGCTTCCGCCCATCATACCACCCGAACCCATGCCTCCTCGAGCGGATCCAGTGCCTGACAGGCGGCGGCGAGGGAAGGAGTTGGAGGCATCTTCATCCACATCAATCAATAAACGACCAGGATAATAGGCAGAGCTTGGAGCGCTGGTTGGGGCATCAGTGCAGTCAGTTTCATTGGCCATTTGACATCATGCCCATCATGCTACCACTCATCATGCTACCACTGCACTTCATGCTGCCAGAACCCATCCCTCCTCTTGTGGAACCCACCATCATGGCTCCGTGGGTTGGTTTCGTTGGCCATTGACATCATCATCATGCCCATCATGCTTCCGCCCATCATACCGCCCGAACCCATGCCTCCTCGAGCGGATCCAGTGCCTGACAGGCGGCGGCGAGGGAAGGAATTGGAGGCATCTTCATCTACATCAATCAATAAACGACCAGGATAATAGGCAGAGCTTGGAGCGCTGGTTGGGGCATCAGTACAGTCAGTATCATTGGCCATTGACATCATGCCCATCATGCTACCACTCATCATGCTACCACTGCACTTCATGCTGCCAGAACCCATCCCTCCTCTTGTGGAACCCACCATCATGGCTCCCGTGGTGTTGGTTTCGTTGGCCATTGACATCATCATCATGCCCATCATGCTTCCGCCCATCATACCGCCCGAACCCATGCCTCCTCGAGCGGATCCAGTGCCTGACAGGCGGCGGCGAGGGAAGGAATTGGAGGCATCTTCATCTACATCAATCAATAAACGACCAGGATAATACGCAGAGCTTGGAGCGCTGGTTGGGGCATCAGTGCAGTCAGTACCATTGGCCATTGACATCATGCCCATCATGCTACCACTCATCATGCTACCACTGCACTTCATGCTGCCAGAACCCATCCCTCCTCTTGTGGAACCCACCATCATGGCTCCAGTGGTGTTGGTTTCGTTGGCCATTGACATCATCATCATGCCCATCATGCTTCCGCCCATCATACCGCCCGAACCCATGCCTCCTCGAGCGATCCAGTGCCTGACAGGCGGCGACGAGGGAAGGAATTGGAGGCATCTTCATCGGCATCAATCAAGAAACGATCAGGATAGTAAGGAGAGCTTGGAGCGCTGGTTGGGGCATCAGTGCAGTTGGATTCAGTTCATTGGCCATTGACATCATGCCCATCATGCTACCACCCATCATGCTACCACTGCACTTCATGCTGCCAGAACCCATCCCTCCTCTTGCAGAGCCCATCATCATCACCCCCAGATAGACGGCGACGAGGGAAGGAATCGGAGGCATCTGCATCGGCATCAATCAAGAAACGATCAGGATAATATGGAGAGCTTGGAGCACTGTTGGGGCATCAGTGCAGTTGGATTCATTATTCATTGACATCATGCCCATCATGCTACCACCCATCATACTACCACTGCACTTCATGCTGCCAGAACCCATTCCTCCCCTTGCGGATCCCATCATCATCCCTCCAGATAGATGGCGACGAGGGAAGGTCGTGGTATCTTCATCCACGTTAATCAAGAATCGACCAGGGTATGGAGAGGCTGTAGCACTGGTTGGGGCTGCAGTTTCATTGGCTTCAATTGACATTGACATCATCATGCCCATGCCCATACCCATGCCCATGGACATGCCCATGCCCATGCCACTGGACTTGGCGCCCGAGATGAGGGAAACAAAGATAAGAAGTGATGCGATTAGAAGCTTCATGGTGGACGGTGGTTGGTGGTTGGTGGTTTGTGCAAAAGCGTTGGTTGCAAGCAATTCTAGTCTTCGAGTGCTCGGAGAAGAGAATTTATGGGAAGACTGACACGGTGGAAGGAATGCGGTGAAGCCAACAGTCTGAACGAAACGAAGTTGCGATTTCGATTTGGTCGTGTCGAAACGGCAGAAGTGCAGCGTGTTTTCGACGATACGGATGACAACGGACAACCATTAGGTATACGCTGATTGCTACGTACATCTGATACCAATTTGAAGGCAGTCTGTGTGCGGTAGCTGTATGGTATCAGTTTCTTTCGATAGTGCTTGTCTCGTCTTGTCACTTGCAGAATTCGTGGACTCGACTCGCTCATCGTGGAGCCAACCTTCGAAGATCCAACTGCATCCAAGTTTCGCTGCAGTTCAAATAAATCATCGTACCGGTACCGTGCCACCGTGCCGGCACCGCTTCCGTAAAGACATGCTTTATTAGCCAGCAAGGAAGGCGCACGATGCTTACTGAAATTTGTATCGTCGCATGCTCCTTCACTCGCTGGTGCGGCAACATTGGAGTTTCATTTTTATTTCGATACCGAACAGCTAAAATTGCCTGCTCGGGCTTGGTCTTTCGTGGCCACTTCAGCCGAACAAAACTGCTAAGAGAAAAGACGACTGATACGAGCCCAATGAAGCAGACCGCCCGCGCTCATTGAAGCAACAGGTGCAGTTAATTCACTTGGAGCGTATGTACTGGTACCACCAGAAGCTCAGACCAATTTCAGGAACGTGTGCTACTGGGCTGGTTGTTTGCTACCGGCTGCTCCAAGCAGCGTCTGTTTCTCTTGCTACTTTCAAGCACTGTCATTACGCTGTCTGTGATTTAACTGCCTAACTAAAACCAGAGATTTCATACTCGGGGATGAAGAGATCATTGCCAAGGCAGCCATGCACAAATCAACCCACGATGCGAACGGCTGAACGGCAACGCTATTTGCTCGGTAGAACGAGGTTCGGCAATAAAAAGCCCTAAACTTTTTATTTAAAAAAATCTGCGAAAAGTGTAAAAGTAAAAGTGCCAGACCCCTCCCAAAACCGAACCAAGACGAGTTGGCACGCAGCAGAAAAATAAATGCTTCCGCCGTAGGGATGTAGGGATACCAGTATACCAGTATCCAAGTAGGAGGCCTCTGATGTCTACAGTATGATACCCTAGTAGAAAGAGGACCAAAACCAACCAAACCGACGGAAGTCCTTGCAAGCAACGCTTGAAGGGTCCAAAGTCCAAAGAGTCTTTGTCGCTGCATGCAAAACGACAAGTTAATTTAAAATACAGAACCGGTACTACATGCACTACTAGCTACTACTAGTGCCTACCGGTATGCTAATTCAGGTTGCAGGACTCATCAAAATAGCCACTAGCTAGTACCACTATAATCACAAGTACTCAAGTACTTCAGTGTTTAGAGTAAGTGCCAAATTCAGGCGACATGACCTTGGTATTACAGGGAGGCAGAATGTCACTGACGAAGCTCTGAGCTCTGAGGACGACCATAATATTTTCAAAACCTTGGTTGTTTTTCATACCAGTGAAGCCGAATGTCATTGGAGTTGCGGGGAATGGGCTTTCCAGCACTTCCTTTGGGTCATCTGCTGGTTTTGGTGGATATTCCACTTTGGGTCATGCTTCCGAATTGCAGCAAGCTTCCAGATTCCAACTACTTTCAGATTACGTCACCTGGTACTATTTCGTAGGTGTTTTTACCTACAGCCTTCCAGATTTGTCATTCTTCCACATTCAGTCAATCTTCTATTTTCAGTCAATCTTCCAAAAGATACAGTTGGAACCTGACAACTGACAAACATGAAGAACAGATATTCCCGCAACTCCATTGACCAGCTCACAATCTGACGAAGACCTTTTTAAAAAACCTGGGTTGATGCTGCTGTCAAATAAATAATACATGTAGATCTAATGGCTGAAACATAGACTACATAGCTACTACATGTACTGTACTCAGAGTACAGGCTGTAATAATCTACAGGGGAAGTGTTGAAATGCCAGGCCGCTCCTATCACCGAACACCGAACCAAGACGACTTCGCATGCCAGGCACAAAGGCTTCCGTCCGATCTTCCAGAGCAACAACAGCCGACAAGCAGAGGTGAGGTTCTTTATTACCATTTAAAACTTTCCTTGACCACGGAAGAATGATGAATCGAATCAGTTGAGCGGTACTACTAGCTAGCTAGCTACTGTATGTCATAGTACTCGGTACAGTACCGGTACATTACAAGCAACATGGTCTCCTCGACCTACGACCAGCGAAGCAGAATCCGAAGTCTACGATTTTTGCAAAAAGTGACTGAATTAAGTAGTTTTACTCAGCACAAACTGCCGAATCGCCAAAACACAGGGTTTACTCTCTGGTAACTTTTCGGTTGTTTGACTTTTTCCGAAGTGACGTACCACCAGTATTCTGTCTCCATCTCCATTCAAAAACAAAAATAAATGCGGCCTTCCTCGGAGAGAACTGCAGGGTGCGGAAATGGGATTTAACAGTCCTGCGTGAAACTACTAGTTTCACGCAGCTTGCGTGAAACTAGCCGTTAGTTTCACGCAAAGCCTGCGTGAAACTAGATTGAAACTAACTAGTTTCACGCAGGCTTGCGTGAAACTAGCCGTTAGTTTCACGCACGTGAAACTAAGTTCAGTCGTGCGTGAAACTATCAATCAATCCATAGTTGTCACTAGTAAATCTTGCGCGAAACTAGCCGTTTTGCTGCGTGAAACTAGCAAGAAACGGCTAGTTTCACGCAGACCTGCGTGAAACTAGTACTAGTTTCACGTGCGTGAAACAGTGCGTGAAACAGTGCGTGAAACTAGTACTAGTTTCACGCAGGTTCTTCACACAAAAGATTTAAGTCCCATTTCCGCACCCTGCTGGTGAGCTGGCTGCCTGTGGACGACTGCCCACAACGGACAGGCCGAAAATACGAACAGCTTACAGGAGAACCCCCAATGTCGCTGGAAAAGAAGAGTGGAGGAGACGCTTTTCAAACCTACGGAACATGCTACCATGGTGGTTGCTTGTTAGCCCGTTCCAACCAATACTGCTAGCTACGGGTATGCTTGGCTAGGTGCTAGCCAGAAAAAGCGGCCTTCGGAGAAACCGGGGAGCTTCAGACGGTTTTTCTTTCTCACAATAATCAGCAACTGGAAGGCGCAAACCATATCGGTATCACTTCCTTTGCTTGAGAAACAATCCAAACACAACCCATCAAGAACCATGTCCTCAGAAGAAAGCTTCTACGTGGGCAAATGGACCGATGAAGAAGCAGACTATGTGGCTGGCTTGATTGATAACTTCGAAGCCGGTACCCTCAACGACGTGCCTGATGGTACAACCTTGAGGGGCTATCTCGCCAAGATGGTATGCTGCCGTGACAAGCGTGTCTCCAAGCGCTATGAGCGTTGAGGGTATAATGGTAGGCAGAAATACAGAAACCAGAGTGTTGCACCTGACAAGGCTGCAAAAAGGGCAAAGAAGCTTGAAGACCTCCGTGTGACATTCTTGAAGAGCCGCAAAGCTATCCTCAAGGCTTCTTCAGGTGCATCATTCGCCAAGATGATAAAGAAGACAGCTGATGAAGCAACTTCGAAAAACGCCAGGGGCTGCGCTGTTGCTGCAGCCCGCAACCAGAGGCTTGGCCAGAATGCTACTGGCCCCGCTTCCAACAGAACCATTGTGGGCCAGGGCCGTACAATCAATTCCATTCTTCTGTCGGCAAATCCTCTGAACCCTTCTGTTGTTCTGGATGTTCAAAGTGGCCCCTCAGTTCATTCCAATGTCTTGGCCCCTCGCACACAACTTCTTATTGTTGAAATTCCTTCGGCGTCCAGCAGCAGCGGTGGTCTCTTAGGTGCTTCCCTTGCCAGATCTACACATGGCCTCCAGCAACTGAGGGATTCTTCATTCTCGAGACTCAGCAGTGCTAGTACCACCACTTTGTCAGCCCCAGCAGCGACCAGTGCTCCCACATCCTTCTCTGTGAGCAATGGCTTGACCCCTCTGGGGGTTCAGCTCGCAGAGTTCCTCCAGAGGAAGCAGCAAGAAGCTGCAGCAGAGCAGAATCGAAAGCAAGAGGCTATTCGTTCCCTGCTCTCTGCTGTTGCCGCGGCCGCGTGCAATGGTTCCAGTGCAACTCGTCGCAACCAGCTCCAGCGTTCGATCTAGCTTGCTTTGGTGGCGCTCGAACTTCCCACATTTATGTTTGTGGTCTTCAGCTTCCCTGGTGACGACAGAATCGGTTCGCCCAAATTCATGCACACTTCACATGTATACCGTGTGCACATAACAGAAAGTAATAATAACTTGAACGAAGATACAGTTCTTGGATGTCTAGCTAGTTGGCTTCAATAGCTAGCGCTGCCTCCGGCACCGGTAGTTCTCACTACCGTACGGACCAATGTGGCTCCTCAACTGGCACGAAATGCAGCCAGCCATACAGCAGATGTGCAGATCCAGGTAGAGTGCATTACAAGCTTCTTCCAAGCGAGAAATCCCAGCTCTCCGAGGAGCGCCTCAAGGAGCTTTCTGCTTTCTGTGTCCCCAGCAGAAAGCTGGTTTGAGGTGCCCACCTGGCTAGCTGGTAGTTGCATTAGATAGGCACACAGTTAATCATATTCAAAGCATTTCGTGCTGAACGAACATGAGATGTTCTTTGCCCTTATGGGTACATGAACCACTTGTATTTTCCCTGTTGAAGGCCTCACCGTTCGGCTCTGCGAAAATCCATGATTGATCAACAGGATTGGGATCCGCGATCCTTGCACAAGGACGTGGTTTAGTCTGTCGGGACCGGTGACAGCTGCACTGGCTTTATTTGGCAAACACCGCTGTTTGGGCTGTCAAGAGCCAAACCAACATGGTGCGGATGCCTGGTACCACTACTAGCTAGTACTCTAGCTACCTACCTACCCGGTAGACAAAATCATAGTCAACTCTCTTAGCAATAGCTACCGAATAAGGAAAGGACTCAGCAGAGGAAACTCGTAGCTTGTTAGAGAATACCGGCAGCATGTAGATTTTTAGCCGAGCATGGCCATTGTTGAACTTGATGGAATTTTCATAGTTGCTTTTGGGGGGTTTCACGCTGGCTGATCATGCACACTGCACACTGCAAGCACAGCAGATCGTAGCTCCCGCAACTCCGCAGCCGCTTCGGCACTGACTGTCACTCTCCTGTGGTTCCATGCACTCTCTGTCCTGCCGTACTAGCTACAGACTACACACGGGAGTAGTCTTGTCTACATGTAGCTACATGAACTAAGACCAGCGAGCAATATCCAGGTGGAGCCGCTGAAGCTGAAGGGGCCATTGCAGCAGAAGACAAGCCCAGCACGGAGAGGCACATGCTTCTCCTCTACCTACGACACTACCGGTACTAGTACTCACTCTCTAGCTAGAGCTGGAGCTCTTGTCTGTCCCCTGTTGTTCCTGTTGCTTGTTCCTGTTGTTCTGGTTCTTCGAAGTGGTGGTTGGCACTGTCGTTCTGGCTGGCTGGTTTTACATTGATTTAATTTGTAGTCTTTTGTCTTCTGTTCAAGAACTAGCTAGCTAGACTAGCTAGTGGAATCAAGCAACTGGTGGCTTGCGCTGCAACGGTACTACCGCCGTAGCGAAGCAGCTAGCCTCCCTGCAGCTGGCCTGGTAGAGCGAGGAAGAAGGCATCCCATTTCCTAGCTATTCAAGTCCTTGTGATAGCACCACTTCTTGCTGGCTACCAGGTGCTACGATTTGAGCTAGCTACTCTAGCTAGTAACAAGGTTGACAGCTCTATCTGGAGCCCGACCTGCGACTGCAAGCAGAGGTCGATCTGGGGATCGACATGGTGGGGTGCCACCATACATGTAGACTAGCTAGATAGTAGCCAGTGCCGTTGCAAGCTTTCTGTATTTATTTATTTATCTGTAGTGCTACTCCGCGGTGGCTAATAGCTGGTGTTACCAGTACTGTACTGGAACATGTATGTACAGTCGTACCACTAGGTAAAGGTACGTACAGTACCGGTGCATCGTACATGTTTTGGTACGTAGGAGATACGCAATAGATTTGGTAGGAGTTGACAATTGCTGTGTCCTCCATCGAGTCGCGTAGGGTGTAGCACAAGCAACAACGCATTCTACAAGAGGCATTTTAAGGGTCCAAGCGGTGTCTCTAAATACGATTGAAGCTTTTGGCCTGCACTGGTCAGTTAGAATTGCGATTGAATGTACAGTCGTACTGGTATCAGGCTCTTATTGTTTTGCATGCAGATGCTGTGGCACGGCGACAGGCGACACAAACCAATAAATAAATATTATGTACAGTCGTACTAAAAGCTGACTGAGTCACTCAAGAGTATCCTGCTGTGTTGTCACCAATCCCGCCCATCGCCCATCTCCAGCAAGCAGTGGATACAGGTGGTGGGGTGTGGGGGTGGATGGAGTCAGGCGAGTGAAGAGTGACAGTCCTCTCAGTCAAGTCAGTGAGTTTGGAGGGCTGTTCGAGCTTCCCCTTCAACATTGGGTTCTTTTCTCTTGCTTTACTTTTTAACAATTCCCCGACTCCTAGAAAGAGTGACCTCATGCTCAAGAAGGCCAGTCACACTAAGGACTGAGACTCCTGTATGAAGAATCTGTACGATACCGCCACCAGTTATGTGATTCAGTCATGCTCATGATCAAGCAGTCTGGATTCCAGAACTTCAAGGAATTGGGGAATTCCTTGAACTGCAACTCCTGAGATTTATTTCAACTTTGAATGCAAACAGAAAGCTTCAGAAAGGGAACTCCAGAAGCAACAGGAACCATCCAAGAACACTGATCTCCTTGCACTCCTTTCCATGCAGTTTCAAACAGTCACACTTGCAAAAGTCTTCGCATCCCGTACACGGAGTGCGTATACGAAAGCAGCCCTAGCTGGCTAGGCCCTAAAAAAGCAACATCTTTTGATGCAAGAAGCAGTTCCCAGCCAAAACTACCATGCTTACTGTAGCTCATGCTTTGGCTAGCTCTCAGCACTGCGAAACGTAAAAAGTTTCTCTTCATTCGAAGTAAGCTGTTTCTCACCTCACAAAAGCTTATAGTCTACTTATCCCACCCAATTATTTGATCAGTCTGCTCACCATGTCCTTGAACCGCACCAAGAATGGACAGTCCTTCCAGTACGTGGGAAAGTGGACACAGGAAGAAGAGGAATATGTTGTGGCCCTGGTTGACCAGTTTCGAGCTGGGAACCTAGACAACGCGGAAGAAGGCACTGGCTTACGCTCGTATTTGGCGGAGATGCTGCAGTGTGGACCCAAGCGCGTCTCCAAGAAGTATGAAGGTACGAACTACAATGGAAGGCTCAAGTATCACCATGGGGAAGCCAATCTCTCTCCAGAAGAGTCTCTGATGATGAAGCAGACTCTGGAAGCACGTCGTGTGGCATTTCTCAACAGCCGCGGAAGACTCATCCAGGGTCTCGCGGCAGTGACCCCTCCGGCGGCTCCTGCTAGCAGCCAACGGTTGGGTCAACAGTTCAAGATGGCAGCTGCCAAGAAGGCGGCCCCGGTTGCAAAGGGTGGGACGAACCGTCAAGTGGCGTCTCTGCTGCGGTTGCCTGGGGCTTCCTTGCCCTCTGTGTCGTTTCCGCAAGCATCCAGCCTGGGCCTTCCGGGGGCGTTTCCCTCTCGACACGGTCAGCCGTCAGAGTCGCTTCTGTTGTCTCTTCTTGCAAGCAAGAATACTGCGCAGCTTGCTCCCGTCGGTGGACCACGAGACGCCGCATCGGGAGCCATGCTGCTATCTTTGAATGGGAGACAACGTGCAATGGCAAGCAGCACAGAGAGGACAATCCCCACGGTAACGTCTCTCCAGTTGTCACAGGCACGATGCCTAGAGCTTCAACGCCAGCTAGTAGCTCTGGAAACCCAACATGCCGTTGCCAGTGGTCAACGCCAGTTAGCTCTCGAAACCGAGTTTGACTTGGCCAATAGTGCATGGAGGACGAACAACTATCATCCTTCCTTGTAAAGAAGCAAGCAATACGGAGCTTCATGAGGAACAGGAAAGACGATGCCTTTTGTCATCACAACTTGAGGAGGCACAACTCCCTAGATAGTTTCACAGTTACATAAGGGAATAGCCACTACACCACATCAACATGGCTGCCCATTGCTGGCTAGCTAGCTTGTGTAGCTGCCGTCTGCGTCAATGTCCCGAACTTCAGGTCGTTGTTGATTCTGGAACCGGCAATGTCCCCAGGGGCGGCGCAGGATAGGCGGCAGACCTCGTAACCACAAGCAATGCAATTGAATCATCGAGTTGTAGTAGTATGGCTTAGTTCACAAGACTGCTCTATAGCTGGAGTTATGAGTAAGTCGCGCATCCATGGGAAGCACCCCAACCGCGGCAAAAGATGCCGGACGATCACTACCGTATGTATCGATGGGATGCTTCTTTTCATCCAACCCTCATTGCGAGGTCTCGCTCATTGGCTGATTCTACACCGACCAAGCTAGCTCGCTGTGGGTGCTGGTGTGCAAGGAAATCAAACCCGAGAGTCGAGTCGGTGCCCGCCCCCTGATCCTGATAAATGGTCGAGCAGAAATATGATATGGTCCTCTGACCATCGCTATAGTATATGCCCGTCGCTGTTGTCGTCAAGAACTGTTCTTCTTCGCCCATGGCGCACTGTGTGTTTCACGACGTTTCTGCGACAGCACCTACTACGGCTGCGGATGACGCTGTTGCTGTTGTCCCCTCTTCTCTATCATCATCATGAATACGATCCATGACATCCAACCCATACTGTTGGACGCTTCGTTTCCACAGGTCCCCGTGCGGAAAATGCCGCCACACCCAACTGTTCGGTCCAGGCAGCTGTTGATATAGTTGGATCCATCGATACACAATTCCAGGCAACAAAAAGTACTCCTTCTTCCAGTAGTCTGGATCTTCGCCGCCCATCTTCTGTCGGTTGTATATGCTACCCTTTGGAAGTTTGTAGCGTTGTCCCGGAAACCTGGGACCAGCGACAAAGGTAAAGTTGCTCGTCATGTTCAAACCAGTCGTATCCCAAACGAGTTTGAGAAACTGTTTGGTTCGATCATACCCAACGCCTGCGTACATAAAGTAGCAACGGAGTGTGAGCATGTATCGTACCGTACATCAGCAGGCACAGATCTATCCGAGCAAATACTGCTAATCTACCCAAAACGAAACGCACCTTTGGGGATGGTCCCCGAATAGTCACACGGTTCAATGGTAGGATGACTGCCAATCCACCATTCCGCCGCGTATCGATCCAACCCGAGAAAGGGAGGTTCTTGCGGATACTGCGTGTATCCGAATGTTCCGTATTTGACCGACTGCACCCACGCTTTGGTGACAATCTCGGTCATGTTGGGTTCAAAGTACCGTGGCTCCATGAGTTGTTGCACGTATCCACACGTGGCCGTCCAGACATTGCCCGCCATGAACAGACCGCGATCAAATGTAAAGTAGAGACCGCAGACGTTGCAATTGTCGTAATTCTTTTGTTTGCTCGGCCAGCAATCCTCCTTCATGACGGCGTGGGTCATGAGTCGACGCCACTGTTCATTGAGTGGAGATGGATGATGCGATCCCTTGTTGTGCAGATACCCTATTCGATAGTCGGCCGGTTGCTGTTGACAAAAGTCATTCACCATTTGCAGCGTGAGTTCTTCTCGACCAACATCGTAGTGCTGTAGTCGACGACATTCCAGTTTGGTTTCGGTACACCAGTTGTGCATCTTTTCGGGCAGTAGAGCATGGCGGTCACCGATGGTGGTGTACAAGAGCAAAACTTGCTTGCCTGGCGGCGTATAACTGGCAATTTGTTGGAGCTGTTCGCGGATAATTCGCAGTGCTTCGGAAGGATCTGGTTGCGGGAGGTAAATGTGGTAGAACAGAACCATGGTGGAATCATCATTCTTGTCTACCTGAGGGAATCGTATCTGAGCATGCCGTTGGACTCGGACAGTTCTTCTGCTGTTTTCATCATTATTTGTTGTTGTACCGCCAATAACATTCGTGCTAGTTGTCATCTTTTCGAGGATTTTGCTATCGAGTTGCCTCCAGCCCTGAGGTACCTTGATTTGATCCAGTTGCTGTTCAATCTCGGAAGCTTCCATCTTGAGGCGCAAGTAGAACAAGCCAATCGTGTAGATCATGAGCAGCAGAACCAATATGATTCCATACAAATGAGAATGGCCCGTTTTCTTGCTGTTGTTTTGTGACGCTTTTCCAAAGGAAGCAGGAGTAGTAATGGTGCTACCGGTAGTGGCGCTAGTATGGCTGCTTTTGCTGTCCTTTTGACTCTTTTGAGGATATCGATCTTTCTTGTTGCCGCGGCGCAATCGCCGAGCCATCGTAATTGGTGGCTGTAGTTGTGGCGGTGGTGATGTGGATTGGACGACCTCGTAATTATTGCTTGAAACGACTGGTCGATGCAAAGAGGTGGGAGAGCTGGAAACACTGGATGTGGGTGAACATGTTGGTGTATCTCTTATATCACTTCCCAGAGAGGCATAGTCCCGCTTTACAAATATACTTTTGATCCCATTGTCCATTGTGGCATCTGGCAAAAATGAGATTTCCTTTGGACCCGATTCTTCGTCATCTAGAACACTCCTCCCCAAGCTTGAAATGGGGCTGACTTCTACTTGCCGTTCATCACTTCCAGAAATGATCATGATGCATGAAGTTGACTTATATCAATGATGGGGCTACAATTAGCAAGTCGTCTAGTTACTACTACTCTTAGGCTGCGGAGCGGCGGTTTGCGAAAGAAAATGAAATGAGCATCCACAAGACCAAATCCGTTGGGTTTGCAAAAAGTTGGCCAGATGTTGCAGTCTCTCCTGCACGCATGCAGAACGTGCATGAAAACAATAATCCTTATCCCTCGCATTAACCCCAGCACTATAGGACATGTACAACCATTCGATTCCCACTGTGCGGTGTCTGTCACAGAGAGAGGTTCGAACTTCGAAGATCCCCATTTCAACAAAAACAACGCTAAAGACTGACAACCATGAGATCCTCCCTGTTGTGGCTTGTCCTCTTTCTGGTATCAGGAGCTCATGGCGCCTGTTCCGGTGAGTTTGAGAACTGCGTCGTGTCGCGAGATTGCTGTGGCAACCACCTCTCTTGTGAAACAGGAAATTGGGCGGTGACTACCGACAGCACCTGCTTGTCCGAACGGTCCGTGCTATTGGAAGCACTGCCAAGAGAGGAAAAACTGGATTTGCTGGTTCAGTTTTACAGCAATCTTCATTTTGAAGAAAGACGAAAATCTAAAGAGGAAGTGGAGAAATTATTTGACAAAAACAGTCGGTCCTTTGCCAAATTGGTGTCCCGAATTGAAAAGCACTATAAAATGCCTGTATCCACCATTGAGAGGACAGGAAAGGAGGAGTTGTGAAAGTGATGGAAAATTGAAGAACAACAGAGGTAGTAGACAATTTGTGAATAATGGAGAATGATCAAGATGGAAAACTGTACATGTAGGTAGGACTTCTTTCATTGATCCAAATGAAGTTGCATGTTCACTGGGAGTGCAAATTATACTAATAGCCGTAGCTACATCTAACTGGCAAGATAGAAATAGACCTAATATTCTAGCTAGGTCCGTTTCAAGTTCGTACGATACTCTAGCTGGCTAGCGGTACCATACCGTATGATACGCGATGACACCGAGAGAGGATTGTGAGAAGCGACGAAAATGGCCCTTAGGGATGGGGATATAATTACGGTACCGCTATGCCAGGTCCCGGTCCCCAAAGATCCCGAGCATCACTTTGTTTTCCCCTTTTCCACGGAAGTGCATGCTTTGACGACGACGTTCCTCCGCCCCCCCTATTGTCCAAACTCATGGTTCACTGACGCCCGAGACGATGATGAGATCCTTTCTGCTGCTGCTCTTGACGGTGGTGCCACAAGTGGTACCAGCTCTTCGCGGTGCCGCCTGTTCCAATGAATTTGATGCTTGCCATGTTGAGACAGACTGTTGTAAGGGTTTCTCCTGTATCATATTGGAACAAGATGAGTATGTCATCCGGAGCAATTGCTTGTCGAAACGATCCGCTCAATTGGAAGCTCTGCCAAGAGACCAAAAAATTGAGTTGTTGGTTGAGTTCTACGACACTGTGCCCGATGTAGCAAAACGAAAATCCAGAGAACAAGTAGAGAAATTTGTCGATGACCACGTTCGGTCGTTTTCCCGCATTGTCTGGTGGCTCGAACGCCACTACAAAATACCAGTAGCCACCATGAAGTATATAGAAGCACCAGAGTTGTAGACTGACCAAGTCTCAGACGATGCTGTAGAACAGCATCAAAATGAAGAATTGGGAACTGTGTGACAGAAAATGGCTGAGTAGCAGTTTTTCTGGTCTTGATTGCAATCTTTGGAGGATGCAAGCTGGTACCGGCCTAGAATAGATGATTGTACGGGTATTCCAAGAGACGAACATGCTCCTTGGCATGGTAATGCGATAGAATGATTCAATTTCAATTGACAGGACTTCATTTAGGTTGGGATTGCAATGGTTGTAACGGCCCAGTCAACTAGTTTGGGTCAATTGCCTTGTCCACCATCGAGAGAGAGAGAGAGATACAGCTACTCTTGCTTGGGTTTTTGAATGATATACATGTACATGCAGGGCCATGACCATTGCCCATGGCTGGCTCTAGCTAGCAGTTGCACTACACAATGTATCGTACGGCCAGTCCTGAGGGGGCCTTCGTTTGTAAGTACCTGGTAGCTCAGTTGGCATCTACGGCAAACCTACCCATTCGAGATCTTCAACCTCCTCGAACGCAAACGGACTCTTCAAACCTCTCAAGCTACAAGTAGACAGGTTTCTATAGATAAGGTAGTTTAAGCATCGGTGGCAGCCCGCTTTCTTCGGGGCTTGGTCACCTTGGCATTTGTCTTTTTCTTCTCCTTGGGCTGAGGTTTGGGGGGTGGAACGGAGAACTTGGCACCCTTTTTCTTCTTCTTGGCTTGATCCTCCTCGGTGTCCTTGTTGTCGTCGTCCTCCTCATCTCCGCCCTTGCGCTTCTTGCCAAGAACCTTCTTGTTTTTCTTTTTCTTCTTCTTGCTGCTCGCCTTGTCATTGTTTGTGGGAACTGCTGCTTTCTCCTCGTTTTCTTCTTCTGGCTCCAAGGTGTCTTCCGGCTTGCGGTCACTGAGTTTGATAATCTTGGCAACGTAGAATCCATCCATGTTGTGCACGTGAGGATAGAATCGTCGAGTGAGTGCCAAAGAGGGATGGAACCGTTGTTGTTGGTATCGAACAAATCCAGGTTTGCCTGATTGGTTGATCAAGGCAAGTGACGAAAGGATAATGAGTGTCAGCACAACAAAACAGAGGATACTGTCCTGTCAACCCTCACAGATAAGCTACGTACCAAACTCCAACCCGGTCTCGACAATCTTAATGTCTCGCTTTTGCAACGCATAATTGACGACTTCTTCATTCTCATAGACAGCGACACTACAGGTCGAATAGACCATGGTTCCACTGTCACTGCTGCTCTTCTTATCGCATCCCGGCCTATACACTTTGAGGGCATCAATCGCCGCCAAGATCAATTCCTTTTGCAAATGAGCACAATTCTTGATATCTTCAATCGTCCGTTGCACCTTGACGGATGGATCGCGACTAATGACACCCAACCCAGAACAGGGTGCATCCAACAAAATCCGATCGAATCGTTGGGGATATTTCTTTCCCAATTGTCGTCCATCGTGACAACACGTCATGGCATTGTGAACTCCCAATCGATGAAGATTAGCGACCGTAGCTTTTTGTCGTTCCGCTTTCAAGTCATTGGCGACAATGACACCGGTATTGCGCATCAATTGGGCCATGTACGAGGTTTTGCCTCCCGGCGCGGCCGAAACATCCAAAATGCGTTCTTTGGGTTGCGGATCCAATGCCAATATAGGACACATACTGGCGGCACTTTGCAACATGTACAATCCGCCCAAATATTCCGGTGTGGCACCAATCGGGACGGGCGATTCGACAATTTTCAGCCCCACTTTACTCCAACGCGCTAGTGGATCGAGTGTGACACCGCGTTTCATGAGGGATGCCGCCAAATCTTTGCGCCGCGCTTTGAGTGTATTGGTGCGAATGACCAATGGACGGGGTCGATCCGATGCTTGCAAGAATTCCATGGCTTCGGGGGGTGAAAACATGGTACAAAAGTAGCGGACCAATTCGGGAATGTATCCGTGCAATTCGGCCGCAAAGCGGACCAACCAATCGATATAATCGGCGCGACTCTTGCCGTGTTCACGGCGTTCTTGAAATTCCGACAGGACGTAAAGAATTTGGGTAATGTGCGACTGTAACTCGGAGGGTGCCACGAGCCGATCGGTGGCTTCCGTATCCCATTCATCGGCTGTGGGCAACTGGTAGACTTGCGTGTCGTGATCAATGGTCCGTTGGAGTTCGGCCGCTGCTTCTTCTTGTTCTGCCAAGAGTTCCTCGTCCAGTTGTTGCGCTTGGCGTTCCACTTCTAGTAGTTCGTCGTCACTGTCGTCGTCGTCTTGCTCTTTGTCATCTTCCTCATCGTCATCGTCAGAGGACAAGAGCTGCTCCTTTTTCTTTTTGGGTTTCAACCATTTCGCATTTTCATCCGTAAACTCTTTTGGGCTAGTATCTTCTTCTTCACTCCCACTGTCATCAGCCTTAATGCTCTTTGGCTCATCTCCACTCACAGAAGACTCTTCTTGCGAGTCACTGCCACTGTCATCAGAAGAGGAGGAAACTTCTTTTTGTTTCTTAGCTTGTTTCTTAGCTACTGGACGTTTGCTCTTGGGCTTTTCTTGCTCGACTTCTTCTTCATCACTGTCAGGACGAGCAACTACCTTCTTCTTGGGAGCCACTTCCTTCCTGGGAGTACTCTTTCTCTTCTTGCTGTTCTTAGCCACCATGGTTACTTTTCTTTTTCTGTTTTGCTTGCTTTCAAGGAAATACACTGAGCCAAGGAACGTCAAAACAAACCTGAAATTAGTTTGGGGAGGATTTCGGGAAGGAAAAAATGAGTGGCGTTGGAGGGATGTGACACTTCGTGCCAACATGACGTGGAATACGGGACCTAAGCTGTGCATGGCACAGCGTGGATTTGACTTCATCCACTTGGCTTTGGTTGGCTCCTCCAAAGCAATGCATGCAGCACATAAAAGATCTGCCTATCTAGCCAACAGGTTTAGAGCAAGGAAGTTGCATGTATCAACGGAAGCCTGCGGGTGGCCAGGATAAGACAAAGAAGAGGTGGAATCTGGGACAGGATTCGTGGGACCAGGGGCAACAAATGGGGGATCAAGGGGGTGGGATTCACAGAGACACAAATGAGCGGCTTTTAGCTACCGGTACCGTATGACAGCTAGCATTGTCCTATCTAGCTAGGGAAACACGTACAGATGAAAATGATGAAATAAATGTGATGATTTGGTGATGAAGATGATGAATCCTGATGAATTGGATTCCTGGTTTTCCCCAAATGAGGACCTTGTATGCATAGGCGTGGATGGAAAGAGAATGAGACCGACGGACAGGTCGAATCTATTCTTCCCCGCACACGGTGGCTCTGTTTGAGTCCAGATCCATGTGATTGTTTCTTCCTGTGACAGGTGCCTCAGCCGAGCACTGGAAAAGATATTCCGAGCTAGCGGTAGCCACCTTGAAACCCTATGACTTACTATGCATAGCTGTACCTATGCATATGAATATACATATGCATATGATAGCTATAATGCTCTAGATCTGGAGATTGAAACATACATACCGTATGCATAAGTACCGTATAGGTAGGTGAAAAGAGAACGGGAGGTTCAGGGAGTCAGTCAGCAAGAGCGTTGACCTCCAATCAAGCACAGCGTGGAAAATTGTCTGGTGTTCAACGTCGTGCCAACCGCTGGTTCCCACATGGCTTGTGCATCTGCGGCGGGGTCAAATTCCATCCGCCATATGCATAGTTGCTGTCTTCCAAGACAAGTCAACTCCTGGCTGACCAAGCACTCCGTCCATTGCGTCCTCCAAACCTGCGAGAACAATCTAGACCACCATGGAAACGCCCACATCATTGACTTTGGAAGATGTCCTGGCATTCGATTGGTTTCTCGCTGTAGCTGGATCATTCCTCTCCTTTGCAGACTTGCAACACCTAAGCTCCACCAGCAAAAAGTGCCGCGGTGGAGTTTTTGCAGGTATCAATGCCTGGCCAAGGAATGGCAAGGATCTCTTTTGGACTTGTCAGCGAGTGAAACCACCCAAGGTGCTGGTCATGGGAGTGCATTGCCGTGCTCAGAGCCCTGCCAGTTCTATTCTGCAGTTTTCATTTGGAAAATTAGCATTTGACACTAGCAAAGCACAAGTGGTAGAGGCATGGAGTGAATTGTATCGACTACCAGCTCCACTCGAGCCCCCGACTGCTCCTAAACTTTGTGCTGCCGATGAGAGTGGATCTAAAATCTTTCTTTGTGGTGGAGGCTTCTTTGGCTGCGAGGCCGCTCTCCTTGACGTCCAAAGTCGTTCTTGGACCACACTTCCCAACATGCCAAGCCATAAACCTAACGCAGGCAGCTGTCGGCTTGGGTCAAGGATCTACATCGTTGGCGGTCAAATAGATTACGCCAATCACGGGGCCCTTAGGATTGACCAGACGGTACATTGTTTTGACTTGGTAGCGCAGGAATGGGTGGATTCGGGCATTCCAGCGTTCCCTGGTCGTGCATACATGCAATCTGCAGTGATCGCCAGAGACGACCATACCATTGTGGTTGCTGGCGGCCGAATGCTTTCTCAAACCCAACTGTTCATGCCGTGCCGAGAAGTGTACTCCTTGGACGTCGAGTCGGGTGTTTGGACTAGATTGGTGGATTTGCCTGAGAGTGATGATGCTGCTGAAAAGATATCATGTCATGGTTTCTTGTGGAAGCGTGCTAGCACTGAATCAACAACCTGTGTGGTAGCCCGTGGTTCGCAGACCGTACAGTTGCTTCCCAACGGCCAATGGGAGGCCCTTCCAAGCTTCCGCCAGGAGAAGAGCGATTCTTGTGTGGCATGCATTGGTGATGCCCTTGTTTCCTTTTCAAGTAACGGTCATGAACTCGTGCACCTTGAAACAGGATTGCAATGCGATCTGTCGCCACAACATGATGAAAACGATGATATCGTGATGGCAGATGGTATGAAGCTGGTGGATACTAAAGAGCAGCCATTCTTTGCGAGACTAGAGTGCCTCAACAAGATTGTACCGGTCTATTCAAAGAACCAAGGAAATGTGTGAGCAATGGATCCACATCAGTTTGGTGGTTTGGTCAAGTCGTGTTTATACCCCGGCGCTTCTTGCCTGAATCTTCTTGGGTTCTCTGTTCGAGTGGGTCTGTCCCTGGTTCGAAGCCTCTTCCACCTTGATCAATGCACGGAAGTATGACCTAGTGCGGCATCCAAAGATCCGTTCGCAGCAGCAGTTGCTGGAGAAGTCTATGTGTTTCTCACTCCGTAACTAGCGACACTTTCTATTTTCACCTGCGAGTCGCAGGACAACTATAACTACTATCATTCACTTTTAAAACACTCGTAGAAACGGCTACAAGTGGCTGGCTCTTTGTGCTGCTATCCATCCTGTTTCAGGACCATCTCAATCTTTTGGTGGCCGACCGCATCTGCCGCCAGGAATGGCTTGTCTTGTGGCTTCCCATTAATGGCAAACGTGTCCACCACGGTTCCATGACCCGTAATGTGCAGGGTCAAGAGTGCCCTCCGGTATCTCAAATTCTCCAACGTCATGACCTGCTCTTCCGTGGTGCTAGTAGTATTGGTGGATTGAGCTGGCACAACGGGCCGAAACAAAATCCCATCGACTTGCAATTCCATTCCAAACAATCCATGCAATATCATGCCCAAGTATCCGGCACTGCTCCACAATTGTCGTCGTCGTTTCCACATGTACGTTCCATCCAATTGATAAAACTCGGCAAATGTGGGTTGATCTTGCGTTCCAGTGGTGTCTGTTTCCATGGGTGCCGAGTTCATGGCCAGTCCGACGAGACTATCGAGTTCTTGTTGAAAGACGTCGACTTGTTTGTGTCGTGCCGCCGCCAAGGCCCAATATCCCTGTACAAAGGGCCAAATCCGACCATTGTGATAATAACTGGCATAATCTTTGGGTTTTTCACGGTGCAAATCAAATTGCGGCCAGAGACACGGAATTCCATGCGGCGTCCGATGAACACTTTCAAACAAGCGTCGAATGCGGGTCTGGTTGGATTCCAAGTTGGGTGCCAACAAGAGCAGTGATTCTCCCAGTCCTTCCATTTTGGGATGAAGCGTGCCATTGGCTTCTTCGTAGTACGCATAATAGCCGTGGTCTTCCAACCAAAGGCGGGATCGAATGGCCTTGCGCAAATGCTTGGCTTTGGTTTGCAATTGTTGTGAATTGGTTTTGTCTTTTTTGCCAGGGTGTAATACTTGTTCCATTTGTGCCGCCAACGTGTATCCATTGTAATAGAGTACATTGGTGGAGAGTGCCTTGGTGGCTCCCACTTTGGGTCCACTGAATCGGTATTCGGTGGGATAGGCACTATTGGATTCCATAAAACTGGAACATCCGCGAAAGAGCCCGGTGGTATTGTCATAGACTTCCAATTCAGCCCATGTGAGTGTGGAGCGTGTCATATTATAGGCCCATTCTAAAAATGTGGTATTGCCAGTCGCCAAAAACAAACTCCAGGCACCCTGCGCACCGACAATGGCATCGCTCAGATAGGGCCAACCGTTAAAATGGCCACAGACATCTTGCAGCCACGTCGTCGTGCCCAATATGTTACTGTCAAGTGTGTGTTGATGGCCATCCTTATCGTCGTGTGGTTGCGTACACGCTTCGAGCGTGACTTGACTGACTTGTGGATAGAGCAGTGCCAGCCCTAATTGGACGGCATAGGATGTATCGCGGGTCCACAATTGCGTCCATCCCGCACCGGCCATGAAATTGCCGTTGGCCATGATATTCTCCGACACTTCTGCCATGGCCACAAGAAAGGCAGCGTCCCAATGTGCGACACCCGTTGAGAGTGTGACGGGTTTCTTATTGTCATTCATAGTTGCTGGTGGTTCTGTAGCACTAGCACTAGCAGAAGTAGTAGTAGAAGAATTTTTCTTTTGACTGGTAGTGGCATGCCCCACCAACAAGACCGTGGAGAGTCCAATGCCGGCCATGGGAAGTAGAATCAACACGTAAATTCCCAAAAACTGCACCAGAGGACGTCGTTTCAGTGCGTATCCTCTTGTACTAGAAGTAGTAGTGCTTCCGTCTACTTCCAACACCAGAGGCTCGGCTTCTTCATCATCACTCCCATGATCCTCTGCATTATGACTGTCATCAGAAACGCTGCTACTGTTGTTAGTGTTGTCCTTCATGGTCCACTTATTTGTAAAGTCGAAGAGGTGAAGGCTTTCGGTTCAAAAGATGTGTCGTTGGGTTTTGGCGCGAGATCCTAGATAGACAATAATCAGCCTGGGGATGAGCAAACTTGCCCATGGCTCTGTGTTGAATTTGTTAGAGCGTTTTTGTAAATATTGTGTGGGCTAAGCCAATCTTTTACTTTGGCTGTTTTTCTCTATTGGATTGCATTGGATTAGATTGGATTAGATTGGATTGCATTGAATTACAGTTTACTATATAAATAACAGTACTAATTGGAATCCAATTCAATCCAATTCAATGCAATCCAATCCAATGCAATCCAATTATTAAATGTATTTTCCGGCCAAAATACGAATTTCGTCTTTTTAACTGATTTTGGCGAGTCACACTCCATTGCAATTCAGGGCTATTGCAAGATTTGCCCATCCCCCCTGCAGAGTGGAGAGAATTGCAAAGGCACGGCCAGACCAATTTTAAAATGCAGGGGGGGCACCGTCGTCCAATGCTGCACATCATTTTGGAGTTGGGCCACATGCGTGCAACAGGCGTTTTTGTTAGAGTTCAAAGGTGGATGATTATCCAGGGAAGCCATACAGCAAGGGCCAGGCAACTGCGGTTCCGTGGGATCAGGGGCAATACATAAATTGAGGACCAGTACGGGGGCCAAAGGGCTTGGCTTTGATGCATGGATCCCCCGAGCCATAAAGAATGGGTAGCAGGGCAATAGAAATTTATGCGGGTCTCCATGAAGAACATCATTTGAGAGTATGAGAACTGAGTTTTGTTTGGCATGGACAGACAGAAACATTGATGTTTGTTTGCTAGCTAACTAGCAAGTTCACGTTGGTTATAGTTGGTTGGTTGCCAACTGGAAGTGTCCGACTGAGCCCAGCAGGGACATGGCTCGCGGATAAGATAGATGTACACATCATCTGATTTTAGAAAAAAGCAACTGAACTAACTAACTAAGTAAGTTTACTCACAAACTGCCGAATAGCCAAAACACAGGGACAACGATCCTGATCCCTATCCTTCCACGCAAACCTGAACCCTCATGGGTTCTTCGACGAATGACTCGACTCACAGTTGCCAAACTGTACCATCTCACAATACACAAAATCGATTCCCACACTTCGCTCCTACACATCAAGTACATCTCCACATCCCTCAGGTCATCACCTGCGTTCCTGAAATGGATACCCACATACATGTCGCTTGTCTGCCTCCTTCGCAAGATCGGCTCTAAGGCAATACACCCCCGAAACCGCTCACAGATAGCAACTTGAATGAACAAACATGCAAGACCGTCCAATCTCTTCAGCCATTGAAAAGTCGATCGAACGCAAAAGGTTGTCTCCTTCTCTCCCCACAATTCTTCCTTCAGCCGAGCTGCAAGCA